ACCATCCAAAGGTTCTCCTACGGGATCCATTTGAGGACTCTCTGATTTTGTCAGTGCACCTCCTCAGCATCGGAACGGCTTTCACCTGATGCCAAAGCCAGCTGTAGAGTGTCGCCTCTGCAGGGCGGTCTCCTGGGCGCAAGCCATGCAAGATGTAATTGCCACGTTTCACAAACTCTGCAAGATCCTTCGCAGTCTTTCCCCGCAATTGGAGCTGTAAGAGATGCATTTGGTTCAAAGCGATGGATTGGTCCGGACCTGTTTCGTAAAAGGCAATAATGATGTGCATGAGAGCCATGCCTTTGGGTCCCTGCTGTTTCGCTGAACATGATTCCACCCACGACGTGAGTTCGTGCGCTAGCTCTGAGTTTGTGGCCAACACCTCTGGTTTAATCAGCTCGGCCGCCACATGTTTATTGAATAACAAAAAGTCATTCGAACTCTGAAGATAATCTCGGAACCGTCTACCTCGACCACCTTCCATGCACCATGTGGCAAACTTCACTAGCACATCCCGGTTCGTCATGTCAACCCTGCTAACTGCGGCCAAGAATGCCGCACGCCACTCGCGACACGAAGTCGCGTCGTTGGGAAGCTTGGTAATCTGAATGGACTTGAGGTGCTTGTGCTTGTAAACACTTTCATCAGTTTCATCTGGCAACAACCAACCATCTTTGGGAGCCTGATTAAAACCATCCTCATTTGAGTCCTTCGATGATGATGACGAACCATTTGTTGGTGAACTGTTCTTGGGTGTGTGAATGGAAAAGGATGGAATCCCACCATGTTGTGAGCCCTGAAGTCCAGCAGGTTTCGGTTTCTCACCTTGTTGTCCTCTACCTGGTACAATGTACCCGGCTTGGATTCTGGGGCCATTCGGGTCAAAACCACCCCATTGATTTGTTGTACCACCATTTGATCCAACCCCAAGACCACAACCAGTCTGAGCCATCAGCCCCCCTGAAGCTAAGTTCCCACTCTGCGCGACATTTGACGCGCATCCTCCAGGAAACCTCGATGAGATCGCCATAGGTGCCGCGGCCGCAGCTGCGATAGACGCGCTGCTAGCTGCCACACCTTGCAATGCTCGGAAGCTGGATGGTGCCAAACTTGGAGGCGGACATGGTGCTGGGTCAAAACCATGATCCTGAATTCTATTCAAATCCGCGCCATTCTTGGCTGTCAATGTGCTCAGTAATGTTGAACATCTCCAACATGACGGTCGTCCAATGACATTCTGTGATCCACAGCATGTACAGTACATCACTTCCAGAGGATTGGCACTAGCAATACTAGCACCTGCTGACATGATTTCAGTTGGCTGGGCTGATTGGTAAGCTTGGGGTAGATGCTCAAAAGGATTCCCAATAGGTGACCCCATCATCGTCCCAGATGTCGATCCTACCCGTTCAGGATGGGTCATGATCACCTCCAATTTGGAGCTAAGTTCCTTGAGCTCCGCCACGGCCCTCTGTCTTTCAGATTCGGCCTGCAACTTCACGAAGTTCACTTGGCCCTCAGCCGACTTGCGGCTATCCTCAAGTTCTGCCTGTAGCCTCATGTTGTCTTCGGACAACTTCTTAATCTGGTTGACGGCTTCTTGTTGAAGTTGTTCAAAACGTTGTTGTGCCTGTTGATGAGTTTGTCTCTCTCTCATCTCAAGCATCTGTTTCTCTTGGTTGAGTTGTTGCAACTTTTGGTACACCTGATCTTGCAACATTTGGTGATTGTTTCCTGCCTGTTGCCTGATGCTTTCAACTTCTTGTTGCGCTTGCTGTCGGAGTTGCTGATCGTTTGCCTCTGCCTTTGCGTTTACCAGTGATTCCAACAATTGTTCCAACTGTGTAGGGTCTATCTGGTTGACCTGTTGTTGATACATATGTTGTTGGATGGTATTGTGCTGATGAAGACTAGGGGGAACACCGTGTTGACCCGAAGCTGAACTTCCACCCCATTGAGCTGAACCACCAGATGCCGCAGCTGACCCCTGTCCTCTCTTCAGCCTGTTCGCCAAAGATATCGCCTCCTGAGTCGGGTTGGCAGGTTGGTCACTAATGTGCATCATTGCAGCTTGCTGAGATTGCTGTTCTGCAAGTTTCTCTGGGGAGTCAGTCGATGAAGTCCATGTACTGTTGGGTCCGTCCACTTTGAATGGGGTCGCCGGCACCTCCCTCTTCATGTTTTGGCACGGGAACTCAAATTCAGGGAACTTGTCAATGCCAATCAGCTATGCAAAATTGCGCCAGATGGCAGCGAGCAAAACTGGCAGTGCAAACTTCTCCAACAAATCGCGCAAGCGCGAGAAGGAGGGCAAAATGCCGAACACCAAGCTTGCAGTGAAACAACCTGTTGCGGTGAAACTATGTTGCAGTGAAACTTGAAACAAGCAAAAATTGCGGTGAAACTCCTTGGCAACAATTGCAGTGAAACCTCGTTCTTGCTCTTGCTCTTGCTCTTGCGCTTGCGCCGCTGAGAAATGAGTCAATGAACAACTCCTCAAGATGTCCTGCACTCCTTCACCAGAGGCTTCGCAAGAAGCTGGGCAACCCGAAATCTGCAGCCGACTCCTCCTCCAGTAGATCGTCGAGCTCCTCAAGAGCTGCCGATGGCCGATTGGCGTGCGAGATCAACACCCGACACCTGTTGCCAGCGGCTCGACGAGCCTGAAGTTGCTCCACCTCCTGCAGGAGGGAGCGCTGGTCGTCCACAAAAATGGCCGCCCCCACACGGCAGACTTCTTCTGCCTTAGATGTGGCACAGCCCGTGAGCGATGGCCTGTCACGGGCAGGATCCGAAGTGAACTTCCGGTTGACCACGTGGATGAACCTGAAAGCTCGTGTCAACTCAGTCTCAAGATCACGTGCCTCACGAAGCACCCTGGACTGAGTGGCTGGCGCCGATGCGAAGGAGCAAATGCCAAGATCGTAGCCCAATGACTGAGCTCGTCGAAGCGTCTGCTTCACCCTCTCGGGCACGTAGGATCCACCACTCTGAGACTCAAAGGACAGCGTCCGATGCCAATCAAGAACTATGAGCGGTCGCTCAACCGAAGTTCCTGGGCGAGTAGATGCCACCGATGAATCTGGAGATGAACGAGGTTCGGCCTTTGCCTTGGCCACCACTGTTGCCTTTGGAGCAGCCTTAGGCTCCGCAGGCCTCAACGATCCCCTTGACCCGATGCGAGAAACTTCACTGGTCCCTGCCGTCGATGATGTCCTGGCCGGAACTCGAATGGTCCTCCTTGTGGTCACTGGAGTCGATGCTGAGGCTGTATCGCGCTCTGCGCGAGCTGTTCCAGATGTCCTCACCTCTCTTTCGCGCTCAGCGCGAGCTGATGTCTCCGCCGGCCGAGTTCGATCTCCACCTTCGCGCACTGCGCGAGTTGATGTTGTCACCAATCGAGATGGATCGCCGCTTTCGCGCGCTGCGCGAGGTGATGTTGCTGGATGAGATGGAACTTCCCTTTCGCGCTCTGCGCGAGGTGATGTTGCTGCCCGATTGGATGAACGTCCCTCCACAACAACAGCCGAGTCCCGTGAGCTCCTGCCTTCCACCCCTGTCGGAGTTTCCGCCGAAGATCGATCAGAACGCCTTGGCACTGGTGCCACTGAAGAAGATGTCAACCGAGGACGAGACGCCGAAGTTGGCTCAGAATCACCAGCAGGCCTGTCCCTCACGTCAGCCTGCTCTGGGACCCAAACCCACCTCCACTCACCCCTAGCACCCGGTGCCGGTGGTGGTGGCTGAGGTGGCTCCGGAGGTGCCCGACCAAGTTCCTCTGCTGTAGCAAAATCGATGGCTGAAGACACACCGCGGTTGTACCTGCTCAATTGGCTGGACCTCCACGGGTTGCCCCCTCGTCTGCCACGAGTTCGAACTCTTGATCGGGAACGGTCACGTCTATGATCAGACATGCAGTCGCGCCAATGGCGGCGAAGGATGGGAAAATTGTCGCGCAAGCGCGAGTGAAAGATTGAAGGTGCCAATGAAAGAACAATTCAGTGATCTATGCAATTGAAGTCTTAGATTTCTTGCCGATATGTTCAGTCTTTCAATAGCTCCCAATTGATCTCACAACTGCAGAAATAAGCCGGGCTACGGCTGATAACCACAAAATTCCAGTAAATCCAGTGAATGCGGGGATTGTACCAGAAGTAATATTGACGTGTATTCAAGATGCAGTAGTCAACAGATGTAACAATGGCCAGTGAAGCTAAGCACAAACACCTGTTTTAGCGGGCACCTTGAGCCAAACGTTGTTGGCCAAGTAAATGGTTTGATGACCAAAACCCCGGATTACAGGATTAAGGAAATGAGTTATCATTGTCGATAACTATTTGAATAGTCTATTCCCGTTGTAAAAACCCTGACATTATGTACACTTTACAGTCAAAGGCAACAACAATATAGTGGGCTCCGTTTTGGGACCACTATGTGGTATGAACATGCATACACGGCATAGGGGTTATTCGAGTATTTTCTACTATATATAATATTATTTATGTTTATTTAGGAAAAATTTATAAATTATTTGTAATATAAATATATTTAATATAATTAATAAATATATATATATAATATTTTTTTTTAGAATTTTCAGGTTTCCATATATTGTTGGAATGGTAAATCAGTCAGTGCCCTCCAGGCCAGAAATTTCAAGGATGCTTGTGAACCTGAGAAAAGCAGTTGGAGATCATTGCGCCAACTAAATTGTCTTAAATTTAAAAAATATATATATATATATACATGCATCCATGCATCTATCTATATAGTATAATATATATTATATGTATATATGTGTGACACCCATATCGTGTAATATTTATGTATGCAATATATGCTGAGGTCAGTGCTATTCGTGTGGTACTTTCCGGCTGCTTTGTTCCAAGAGGCCCCCATCCGCCTGAGGAAGGGTCTTACAACTTGCATCTGTCCTTCAAAAATCATCAAACACGGGGATCAGAAATGTAAATTAAGCATTAAAAAAACTGAAACCTGGCCTCGACATAAACGTGGAAGCCTCCCTTCTTGTGCTTGTGACTCTTGTGTTTGCGCCATGGCTTGTGCTTTTGGAGATGCGATGTCTCTGGTTCTTCACTTGACTCTTCTGTCACTGAGCTACCATCTGAATCTTCATCAGTTCCATCAGTTCGGTCAGGTCCATCCTCTGCTTTATCCTTGTTCACATACTTGTGTCTCATGCGCTGCCGGGCGTTCTCTTCCCTGATCGACTCCTCAATAGCATTTCCAACTCCCTCCTCATCAGCGCCATCCTCTAGTTTCGTGCCATCTTGCGGCTTTTTTGCTGCATCCCTGATATCCCTGTTTTCGAAACTCATCAAAACCTGAGCCAAATCTGCCAGCGCCTCATGACTCATCTTTTTCTCATGATGTGGTGCAGCTTCTTCACCTCGCCAGAACAGAGCCATGTGGATTCATGATGATTCATGTGGGCAATCGCGGCGCGCTGTGAATAGAGCATGATCTTCTAGCATGATCTTGCTACCTGTAGCCTAAGAAACCAGCACAATCTATCACGCTACTGATGTGATATGATTTGCTGTGTGGTGTGTGTGGTGTGTGTGGTGTTGGAACTCCAAATACTTCCGGTGCAGCTGGATGGCTGTAGTTTCTGAGGGCGTTGGAGACCCAAGCTTTTTCTGCTTGGAGATCAGCTTCTGCTTTGGCAGCACGGCGCTCCGCAGTCCGAAGAGCATCCTGAGGGACAAAAACATCACAATCCTCTTGAGAAGCAAACAAATGAGGGAAAACAGCTTGGTTTCTGGAGATTTCTGGGATTACTGTTGAATACTGTTGATATCATAGTCCATCAGGCAAAAGCATGGAAACGTCAGTGACATTGCAACTAACCTGGCCACCCGCTCATTAATTCATGTCCTGCAACTTTCTGAGTTCTTCCTCAGCTTCAGCGACCTTGGGACAAAACAACCACGTTTCATTTCGTGCTTCCAACGGGGTATGGCCGTATGGTTCAAAGAATGAGGGCCGGAAACCTCACAGAAAAATAGACAACCCCATGTGTTGATTTTTTTAGGTGGCACAATCACTGTCAGCCATCCCCAAGACTAAACCCACGCGCAACTTTGCAAGTCAAAAGTCTTCACATCTGACAAGAGCTAAGGCAGCTAAGCGATGGGCAGTGTCATTCTCAGAACGAGCTTGGATTGTTGCATTCTTTTCGGTAGAGTCGCCCTGGGATTCTTCAGATTCATTTTGCCGGTGTCGATTTCTTCCCACTGGTGCCTCCACACTCTCAGTAGCCATCGACTCATTTCCCGTCGAAAGCTTTGTGCCATTGCTCTTCAAACTGGCATTGGACTCGGCATCCTCAATCTTGGATTCATTACTTGCTCTAGCCGACTTTTCAGTCCTTTCAATCCCAGTTTTGGATGTTTTGGAAGAGTTCTCAAACCTGTCTCCATCTTCACCATCGTTTTCTGTCGATGTGTTGTGTTCCAGGCCCTGTTTCATCCGAATCTCCTTACTAACATTCATCTTCTGCCCTTTCTGACCTTTCTGACTTTTCTCCATCTTCTCTGGCCGCGAGAGGAGGGAGGCCCCAGGATCCTCTGAAGCCTCGCCCTCACCGTTCTCACCGTTCTCACCGGCGGCCTCGGCATCGTCGCTGACGCTGCGCTCCTCTGCTTCTTCCACGTCGAAATCGGCTCGCCCACTTTCACCCGAAACTTCGTCCTACAGATCAAGGAAAATCATGAAGAAAAAACAAATAAACCACATACCACATCATACCACCAAACCCCCACCAACAAAAAAAGTTACAACGCGAATGGAACAGGGCAAGAATACGGAACAACGGTGACTACGGAACAAGTGAATGCCTTTCAAGGATTTTTTGTGCGCATTTTTGACACAGGTGCTCCAAGCCAGTGCTAAACCGACAACTCTACAAATCTCTGCAAAGTGCCTGATCGGTTTCGCTATCATCTGGCTCATCCTGCAACGAAGTGGGTTCCAAACGACTTTCAATATCTTTCAAGCAAATGGCACGAAGATAACATCTGATAACTTGACTTATCACCTTATCACATCTGATTACATCTGATTACACTCTTTATATTCCATGCGCAGTCCATTTGCCTCTGGTGACTCTGGTGTTCCGACGAACCTGGCAGGAAATCGGACAGCTGCTGGGCACTTTGTTGAGACAAACTTTCTGCCCGATCCACATCTGCAGGTCGCCTTTGCTTCTGCTGGTCTATTTCCAGGAAATTCCAGGCCGTCACCTGGTGCAACCCTGAAGAAATTCAGTGATCTTCAGGGTTGGTCTAAAAATGGGGGCATCATGATGATAAAGTATCACAAAATGTACGTACTCATAAGGTATCATAACATATTGTAAGATATTATGTTTATTATGCAGATACATAGTAACTTCGGGTCTGCACCAGTCTTGGACGAACCTCATGCTGACAGGTCCAACCCACAAATGGTGTTGAATCCCAGCTGATTGTCAAGTCACTTCTGCTGGGTGGATTCGAGTGACGTGGATCCGCTGTCCTGCGCCCGCTCAGCAATTAGAGCACGCAAATACACAGATCTCTCATTGGATGGATGCAAGGGAAGGTGCACAGGAAAGGGAACCATGTTTCCCAGCAAATACAAGATAAATGATAATATATACATAGAATTAAATAGATATATACATATATATATATATATGTAGTAAATATATAGGTCGTTCCAATTTCCCCATCAGAAAATCACTGGCATCGCTCCAAGTGGTTGCGCCTTGTCGCGGTTGGGAAGCCACGTGCGCTGGAGGAGCTTTGCTTCGACGAAGCTGTGATGGATCACTTCGCTCGGCTCCCACCTCACAGGGTCAATGGGTCTCAAAATTTGACCCCACCATAGGATTCAGCCAGCAGCCAAAGATTTTTTAGGCAACCATGGCAAATCCGATTTGGGACATAGAGGGGTGTCCAAAACAAAAACCGAGGTGCACCCCAAAATCCAACAGCTCTAGAGGTGCACCCCATTTGGTCCTGCTGCAGCGATTTTCTCTTCATCATTTTTTACTATGTTTTTGCCATAGATGGAAAAAATATAATTTTGCAGATATGTGTTTCTCAGATCTAAATCCGCCATTCATCGGGGATTTTCCATCATCCCTCCCACCAAAACCTCCATTTTTAGCGGATTTTCTGATTCGAATCCTCCATTCATAGGGGAGTTTCGATCATCTCACCCCCAGCATCCCTTCCACCTCGCGTCGCACCACGGAGGGCCGCTCCACGGCCGAAGAAGCGAAGGAAACGGCGCAGAATGCCAGGCTTAAGGACCACATCCCCTAGGTTGAGGGGAAATGTTTGAAGGTTCGACATTGAAGGGGTTGTTTTCTGTAAAGAAATATCTTGTTTGGGAATTGTTTGGAAAATGTAGGGGCATATAGCATACTGTATATTTGAGGAGATTGTATAAATTGTATGTCCACGAACATGGCGATTCTTTGATTCAAACGTGTGATTTCGGGGGAAGCGTTTATAGCATCATTAGAAAATGATCGCCACATGTTTCATCATGATGAAGACCTGGAAGATTGGGCGGCAGGTTGGAGTGTGGACTGTAAAAATTGGACATATCCATAGGATACTGTAGGTACCAACTCAAAATTGGCGGATATAGCCAATCTATAGCCAATCTATAGCCAATCTATAGCCAATCTATAGCCAATCCGGGTATGCACATACAAACACCACCGTGTGGTGGTAGGTTCACACTTCAAACTCACTGTGCCAAGGAGCTGAAATTCGGCTGAAATGTGGAGCCAGCTGCAACCGCAGCCCGGAAACCTGGACGCAACCAGCAACTGTCCAAGTGATCCCAAGTGGCTGCGGTGGCACCTGGATCTCGCAGATCACGAAAAGGCAATGGCAGGCAACTACATGGGAAATCTGTAGCCGGAGCTTGAGCCAAACATGGCAAATGCGGACACAGGCCATCGTAAAGAATCATCAAGAGAGTAAAATCATCTCGGCTGGCACCAAGAAGAAAATGGAGAAAGAAAAGACCAGAAAAGCATGCTTTCAATGTCTCTTTCAATGTCACAGTGCAACCAAGTGTCCAAGGCAAAGTTCAATCCAAGGCAATGTGGTAGACTTCAATCATATCCCAACAATAAACCATGCGCAATTTTAATCGAAAGTTTGGATAAACTTAAAATAAACTTAAACACATCCCAAATGGAGGTTTATGGATTTTTATGGCACTGGGTGTGCCACATTCATCAGATCCATTTTCCGTGTCACAATGTGCGATAGTCGAAGCAGCCACCCCTTAGCAGCTGTTGAATCGAGGATTGAGGATTCAGAGATTTTCTCGGCTCCCAGGCCCTAACCCGATGCCTTGCAAACAAGGCGGGGCTGTCTAAAATCCAAACATCTTGGCACAAAGAAAAGCACATCTATAAAGATCAAGACATATAGCGAATCATGTGGTTGCTAAATCTGTGAGAAGTCGAAATATGTTGGAATCAGCAGGTTTTGGGCCTGCGAGCCAAGCATTGGCATAGTACCACAGGTTCCCACGTGGCTTCTAAGATTTGTGAACTGAAGAAACTGAAGATCACTGTGCACACGCAGCCCACTCAGAAGGTCACTGACTGGCAGCTATCCTTAGGCCGCCTTTGCAAGTTCCGCTTTCAAAGCTGCATTTTCTTCCTCAAGAGCTTTGATTTTTTCCTGTGCTTCTGCAAGCTGCTTCTTCAAGTCCTTCACCGAAACCACTGCAGGTGCAGCACCACCACTGCCCTGAACCTTTTGCATTCCAGGTTTCATGGGGCTCAAAATGGGCTGCCGATCTTGCCCAGAAAGCCAATCATCAGAGTTCATAGCTGGAAGGCCTGCCACGCAGTCAGGGAAAATGTCGTCTTGGAAAGCCTCACTCTTCCGAGGCACACGGAAAGAGATAGGCTGGACCGCAGTGCTTTCCAGCTTCAAGCCCTTCATGATCTCATGGACGCCCACATCCACACATCTCTTGGGCAGAAAGTCGAAGCCCTTCTGTGGCACAGTGGTCTTGAAAGCTTCAATGAAGTGAAAGTAGGGATCCGCATTCACTACTTCGAAGTATCTCACATTGCTGTCACCCTTCCCTGCCAAGTACAGCATCTGAGTGCCCGGGTCGAAGAAGGGGTACAGCGCGCCTGTCCCCTGATCCACGTTCAGGACCGTCAAATTGCCTCCCTCCGTGCCATCCGCCGGCATCTTGCGGATGTCCCACATGCAGATCTGGCGATCCGCCTGGGAGGTCATCCCGGTGGTGATCAAAGTGTTGCACTCATCGCTGGACGATGGATTGCCCACCCACTCCACCTGCCAACTGATAGGAACTGATAGGAACTGCATGGAACTGCTGTTTTGGGGGTGAATGGAAAGTGGGAACTATCAACTGTTCCCTCGCAATATGAATAATATGATTGATTATATACTAATTATATACATTCAACTACCAACAGATTCCATCCCCTAAGATGGCCTGCATACTGCCTCATTATACTCATCACCAACTAATATTAAATTCTCAGTTGGTGCAGAATATGTTCCGCGAACTCGAACCCAAAGTCCCACCTTGGTAGGTTTGGGCCCTTCGCAGATCTTGGTGGCCACCGCAATCTTGGACTGCCGCGGGTCCACGATGTGCAGTTTCTTATCCTTGGAGGTGATGGCTACCAGGGAGCCGCTATAGTTCCACTTCACGTGCATCACCTGATCTGGGACCGGGATGCTATAGGCCGCTTCCTGTTCCGCCAAGTTCCAGATTTTGCAGGTCATGTCAAAGGACGTGGAGGCCAGAATGTTCTCAGCACTGGGATTGAAGGTGCAGAAAGAAACCTTCTTGCCATGGCCTTCTAAGGTCAGAACTGGGTCCTTCAGGTGACTTTTCAGTCCTTCATCCGGGATCTGCCACAATTTCAAGGTGGTGTCCTCACTGGCACTCATCAGCAGGTTGTCCGAGAACGGGCTGAACTCAAAGTCCATGATGCCACCCGTGTGCCCAGACACCAACGGCAAATCTCTAGGCAGTCGTCCAAATTTGTTGCTGGGGATCACGGCCAGCGTTCCACCACCACCAGCTTCCCATGGTACACAGATGAATTTGGAATTGCCCCGGATGCCTGTCGTCTCCAGCGGTTTACTGGAGAGCCTCAGGTCCTGGAAATTCTCCTTCGAGGCATTGCCAAAGACATGGCGAAATTTGGAATCTCTCACCACCTTCATGGTGCCCGGGTGTCCCAGCGCAATTTGAGCTGCGGGGCAAAATAAAAAAAAAAAAAAAACAGGTCGGGTGTCATTAGCCAGCTGACACTTACAAAATAACATCATTTTTTCCATTGACATGTGGAAAAAAAACAAAGGTTTAAAAAAGAGACTCGGGCTGGAACCTTTTGTCCTTGCGCTGCGCCTTTGCGGTTTCAGGACGCATTGGTATCGATACGGAAATGTGGGTGAGACGGACCTACCCTGGCACATCACAGCATCACCAAAGAACACCTGCAGTGCAGCGTGCAAGCTGACCGCGACCACACTGTTGCCACGCAGAGTTCGTCAAAGCAGTTGAAAGCATTTGGGAACTGACTCCGAGGTCCGAGGGGTGTTTTCCACATATATCATGGAATCATGGTGTGTTTCTCATGAGTCTTTCATGGTGCAGAATGTGCTCGCAAATAGCGCTTTTGTGCACACCCGCCTCTGAGTTGAACTTGGCAATTCCGTGAGATCAGCATTCTGCCACAAATCATTGCACCTCAGGTGCAGACATCATCGGACATCATTAGCACTTGCTGAAAATGAAAGAAACCATGACTAAAGCCGATCAAACTTTTGACTGCTAGCTGCTACCTGGCTGCTACCATGTTCAAATGCCTCAACCATCTCAACCCTATTTCCAACTCCCTCTTCCGCCACTTGATTTCATCTCCAAGTTGCCTGCACTTTCTTACCTTGAAGCACGGGCCCAGAAAGATTCCAAAATATTCCCAAATTGATCATGGTAAAAAGCCTAATGACTGATGCCAATGCGGACATTCTTGCAGCCTAAAGTGCGGGCAATAGCTGCCTCTGTTGCTTTCAGAAGACGCTCGATTTCTGTTTGCCGACTCTTCAATGCTGTTTCTATGCCATCAAAGCCCGTCTCGCTGTGTCTCACCCATTCCTACGACATTTGTTCAAAGTGCAAATGTGCTTCCAACTGGCGGATGGTCATGGATGGTCCATGCTGTCAGCATGTCAATTTCCCCCCCAACCACTGTAGTCACAGCTGTCCTCGCCAGTGAGCTGCAAGTGCAAATCGGCCAATCTTTGCTCGTGCACTGCAGCTTCACTCTGTAAGTGCTTCGTCCTCAGACCTATCGCTGCTCGAAACTTCTGCTGGCTTTCCGCTTGGCAGCTGTCGGATTTTGTTGGCACATCTGCATTCATGGTGAATCCCTTCTGAAGAGCCACCAGTGGTGATGCGTTCGCCCTGAGTTCAGATCCGGGCACAGTTTGGATCGCTGGAATAGTTGGACTTAGTTGGAGCCAAGTATCCACCACATCAAAATGAAAGGCCAAAAGAAGCGAAACATGCTCCTCTCTGCCAGCCTGATCTCGTGACCACACACAAAACCCATCAAAACCCATCAAAAATCAATAAAAATAAATAAAAATAAATAAAAATGAATAAAAATGAATTAAAACCCAATAGAATGCAAATTGTTGAAACTAAGGTCCTCACCACAACGCTGCTCAAATTCACGTTCGCACTTTCTATGGACCCATTCGATCTCGAAACCCGAGCTGAGACCCGGAAATTGCGGCACCATGCCCTTTTGCCGAATGATTTTGGTGTCGCAAAATTGCGTTTGGATTTGTTTTTACCGTGGTTGGAGGTTCAAAATTTATGTTTGGATATGTTTGGTAATCTATTCCGTGAACGCATGTTCATCAAACAACTGGAAAACCAAAACCCGAACACCATGGCACATGTCTTGGCCTACTTAGGGCCTACTGGATGCAAAGGCGCATGCGTTTTTTTTCATAATTGGTTGCGTCGTGGTGATGTTGTGGATGCATCTGCAATGCAAATTGTTTGCGATTCTTCTACGTACATTGAGAGGTAACAAACTAACAGAACCAAGGAAGGAAACAACTAACAAGTACAACTAAAAAACCGGACGTCCGTTCGTTTTCAACAAACAATTCTCTAGTAGTCTTGTGAAATCATTGTTCGCAAAACCAAGCTGCGCATGCGAAATCGCAGTTCCTTTTGGCCTTTTTCAAGCAATCTACAGTACTGTGTTTCAATTTCTACCGCCGTGCCTGGAACAAGGAAACTTTGCCTGAACAAACTGGTCACACTTGGTTGAAACAAGGTTGCATTCACCGCACTCGAGTCGGTCACGAAACCATTCAGCAAAGCCTGCTGGCAATTGTATCAATTGTGGTGATTACGAACCTTATGGCCAACGCCAAGGCACTTCATTGACAAATGCCAACACACATTTGTGCGGTTAATCTCAGGTCGCCCCAAAGCATGAAGGGAACCCAACAACATGACATGGAATATGCGAACCGAATCAAAAACGAAACCTAATACGCCATGGTAGTCCAGGCCAAAACGCAAAGAAACGTGGGCAGGTTCCACGTTTTAAAACCTTGAGTCGCGCCAGAAGTTCATGAAGAAATGATTTATATGGATGAAATCAACCTCACCCTTTGCATGCATTGCCAACCTGTGCCAAGCGCAATTCCAAAATGATACGGGTAAGGTCAGCGCGGAAATGTTGTCAAATTGGAACGCAACCACTTGGGGAACACATGGTTTTCCATTAGGTCAAGTTAGGTGGTGCTGGTGAACGTCAATTACGCGTGTTTGGGGTCACTTTGGACCACCACCACATTCCAATGCTTGCTTTGTTTTCCACTAGCCGTTTAGTATGTGTTGGCGGGATGAGGGGTTAAATATTGTTCTATGAATACGAAAATGTTCTGCGTAATCAACTAGCCATTTAAAGTTTGGTTGGGCGGCGGGGGGTTAGATAGCACGCTAATATTTTGTTTGTGTTGTCAAATTGCCGTTTAAAATTTGTTTTGGGGGGGTCGGGTTGCATATTACTCTACTGACTCTACTGAGAATTTGTTCTCTGCAATCAGACAACCATTGAAGATTTGGGGTAGGGTGGGGCCATTGGATCTTACATTAACAGAAACGTGTTTTGTCTTATGAACTAGCCATTACAGGTTTGTTTGGGGGATAAGAAGGGGTTGGTTTTAGTTTAAATACAACTCATGTTTTGTTTTTTACAAGCCATTAAGGGTTTCTTTAGGGTGGTGGGAAATTCTACATTATTCTAATGCAAAATTGGTTCTTTGTCATCAACTCCCCACTTAGGGTTTGTTTAGGGGATATGGGGCATTGGATATTACTCTAATGAAGAGTTTGTCTTTGCTATCAAACGACCATTCCGGGTTTGTTTGGGTGTGTCCGGAGGTTTGATAATACTCTCACAAAACTGTTTGCCTGCAATCAACTAGCAATTTAATTATGGCGGTAGGGACTCCGGATATCAGTTTAATAGACATTTGTTCTGTGTTATCAACCACCTATTCAAACTTTGTTCGGGGCTATGGACACCCGCAGCTTGGGTATGACATTTGGCGCTGACGCTGACGACGCGTTGTGACGACACATTGCCGATGTCCCCGGCCCCCCTGACGACGCATTGTGACGACACATTCCCTGACGACGCATTGCCCCCCGACGACGCATTACCCCCTGACGACGCATTGCCCCCTGACGACGCATTACCCCCTAACGACGCATTCTAACGACACATTCCCTCACGACGCATTGCCCCCTGACGACGCATTACCCCCTGACGACGCATTGTGACGACACATTCCCTGACGACGCATTGCCCCCCGACGACGCATTGTCCCCTGACGACGCATTGCCCCCTGACGACGCGTTGTGATGACGACATTCCCTGACACGACCATTCCCTGACGACGCATTTGACGACGCATTACCCTGACCGCACGACTTGAACGCCCCCCCTGACGACGCATTGCCCTGACGACACGTTGCCCCGACGCATGACGACGCATTGACGACGCATGTGACAACCCGACGACGCATTGCCCCCTGACGACGCATTGCCCCCTGACGACGCACACGATTGACCACGCATTGTGACAACACATTCCCTGACGACGCATTGCCCCCTGACGACGCATTACCCCCTGACGACGCATTCTGACGACACATGCCCTGACGACGCATTTCCCCCTGACGACGCATTGTGACGACACATTCCCTGACGACGCGTTGCCCCTTGACAACGCATTATTTACGTCATTGTGTATTGCCTGAAGACACATGCCTGTTGACAGGCTAGGCAGGACGAGCAAGGGCGCAGGCGTACTGTAGTCTTAGTATGTGGGAAGATAAATAGAGGAATGTAGAGAGGAAGAGGAGCCGGAGGGCAGACAGAGATTTGGTCTGATCACCAAGGCTGGGTTATGTAGAAATATAAAGCGTAGAGGTAATTACGATCTTGTGGCGCGTTTTTGCAATCTCAGTTGAAAATCTTTGAGGCAAGGATCAATCATTAAGTTGAAGTACGTTTTTGCAATCTCAGTTGAAAATCCTTGAGGCAAGGATCAATCATTCAGTTGAAGTAGTAGAACCTTCTTAGCTTCTTACCAAACCCAAACGAAGAGAGCACCCGAGTGTTCCAGGAGAAAGCTCAGGAAGTTCAATGAAAAAGTATTGAGCGTGCAGCATTCAGAACATGCGGGAGTTTAGTGCGTAACATCAAGAGCCTGTTGGAAGTTCCAAGAGAAACCTATAGGCGAGTAATACTAAGACAGCGTGTTAAAGGACCAAGAAAAACCTAAGAGTCTAGCATCCAGAACGTGTTGGAGGTCAGAGCATAGCATCAAGCGCATGCTGGAATGCTTGAGGAAGAACAAAAGAGCGTAGCAACTAGAGCGTCCTGGCGTGTTCCAGAACAAAGCTAAGAGCGTAGCACGAAAAGCGTGACTTTCTCCAGACCGCAGCGTCAAGAGGCGGAGCGTAGCACCAACAAGAGCGCGTTGGAAGTTCCAAGAAAAAATTATAAGAGAAGATTGTGGTGGACCGTAGCGTCAACAGCATCTTGGACTGTTCCAAGACCAGGTTCAGCGCGTAGCATCAAGAGAGTGTGAGCCGGAGCCAGGAACGTAGCATCAAGAGCGTGTTGGAATTCAATGTGTCACAAAAAGAAGCAAAAATAGCGCGCCATGCTTCAAGAGAAGCCAAGAGCGTAGCGTCAAGAGCGTGCTGGCACGTCCCAGGACAAGGCAAAGAGAAAGTGTTGGACAGCCCGCAAGATAGTTAAGAGAGTTAAAATCACCAAGAGCGTGTTGGAAGTTCCAATAGACAGCTAAGAGCGTAGCATCAAGAGCTTGCCGGACTGGCCCAGGAGAAAGCTAAGAGCGTAGCAGCAAAATCGTGTCGGAAAACCCAAGAGTAATTAAGCCAAGAGCCTAGCACCAAGAGATGGTTCGAACTTCCAAGAGAAAATTAGCATAGCATTCAAGAGGCGACTGTCTCCAGAGCGTAGCGTCAAGGGCGTACTGAAATGCCTCAGGTGAAGGCCAAGAACGTAGCATCAAAAGGATTTTCAAAATCTCAAAGAGCAAGCCCGGAGGCTATAGCATCCAGAGCATTTCGTTGGTTACTCTTCCCTTTCGTTTTGTCTTCCCTTCTGTTCCCTACGTCGCTCCTTTCGTTTTAACTTCTGCTCCGTTCGTTACTTCCTCCCCATTGTTTCATCTTATTCATTCACCTCTTCCTCTCATTTAAAGGCGTTCATTTCGTTAGGTCCGTCTTTTCGCTCAAATCTTCTGTCCTGTTCTTCCTGCTCTTCCTTTCCTGTCAACTCGTCCATTTCATTGCGTCCGTCTTTTTGTTGCAACTCTTCCCTTCCATTCGTTGCTTCCTTCCTTTCGCTTCAACTCTTTGTAATCCCGTTCGCTACTTCTTTCGTTTCAACTCTTCCCTTCTGTTCCCTATACGCCGTTCCTTCCGTTTTAAATCGTTTTAATTCTTCCCTTCCGTTCGTTACTTCCTCCCCATCGTTTCAACGCTTCCATCCTGTTCATTTACCTCTTCCTTTCATGTCAATGCGTTCATGTCGCTGATTCCTTCCTTTTTCTTAAGTCTGACATGCGGTTTGTTTACCTCTTCCTTTTTTCCAAGTCGTTCATTTCGTTACCTCCTTCGTTTTTCAACTCTTACATCCGGTTCGTTTACCTCTTCCTTTCGTTTCGAGCCGCTCATTTCGTTATACTTCTTTCCTTTAGTTTCTAGTCTTACATCCGCTTCGCATACCTCCTCCTGTCCTCTCACGCGTCCATTTCATCGCGTCCGTCCTTTCGTTGCAACTCTACGCTTCGATTCGTTACTTCTTTCCCTTTCGTTTCAACTCTTCGCTCCTGTTTTCTATACCTCGTTCCTTTCGTTTTAAACTCTCCTCTTCCCTTCGCTACTTTCTTCCCATCGTTTCAACGCTTCCATCCTGTTCATTGTCATTTGCCATTCCTTTCGTTTCACGGCGTTCATTTTGTTACTTCCCTTCCTTTCCCTGAGGCCCTGTGACCACAAATAAGTAAAAAAAACGGCAATGTACCTCAAATACAGGGTCATCTCCGTAAAAGCCCAGATTCAAGGTCATTTCTCGGAATTTGTCGGATTTGTGGGTTTTGAGGGTCTGATCTTGTCAGATTTTAGTAACTGCACTCACTAGG